GATGTATGTTCTCCCTCATATGTGGATCCTAGAACCAAACCCTGATAAGTGAGTATGTATCCAGACATAACTACAGGAACCAGGATAATGGAAAGGAAACAGGGAGGTAAAGGAAAAGAAAGAACCTAAAGGAGAAGAACAGTAGGGAAAAGGCCTGAATAAGGGAGATATGGATAATAATGGGGTTATTTTAAGGGGGGATGGGAAAGTTATACAAGGAACCTAGGGGATAAAGGGAAAGAAGGAGCTCAAGAGAGCTGGGACAATAGGAAGTATTAGTAAGGGAGAAATGGGGAAAATGGGTGTGGTTTAAATGGGAAACCATGGTGGAAGGGTTAGACAATGCAAGAGATAAATAATGCCTAGCTAGTTTTTTTTAAAAAAACTAGAGGGATGGGGCTGGAGAGATGGCTCAGTGGTTAAGAATACTGGCTGTTTTTGCAGAAGACCCAGGTTCAAATCCCAGCACCCATATGGCAGCTAACAACTGTCCATAACTCCAGTTTCGGGGGATCCAACAGTCTCTTCTGTCCTCGGCGGACATTGCACGACACCGGTGCACTTACCTACATGTAGGCAATACACACATACACATAAAATAAAAATAATAAAATAAAATATTTTTAAAAAACAGAGGCAATCATATTAATCCAACAACCTACTGACAAATTATACACACAGCTAGCTCAAGGAACATAATATATGTCTAGGCAAGGTTTATCTGAGAAACTTTGGTCTTTGCTCAAGCTTTATCTACATAGCACATGGTAATTAAAAGTACCAGACTGGTGGAACTAAACTTCTTGGATGTTTAACAGCCATACTTTGAGGCCTATACTAATCTGGTCAGAGGGACATAAAGGATACTTTTTGCTCCTTGCCCTCCAAGGTCGACTAAGTTCCAGTGGACTATGAGCACATAGATGGAACTGGTAAAAGAAGGAGCCAGGAGCTCCTCCCAAGACCGTGTGACCCCTGAGGAACAGATCCTCAAACGACCTTAAGAGTAAAAATAAATTGGTTTATCTGGGCCAACTGTATGGTCTTAAACACCCAAAAGTAAAGCATAACCAAAGATTAAAGGGGCCAATATAATTTCTTAAGAGTCCATGTGTGATTCTCAGGCCAGTGAATGGGCAGCCAAGTACATCAGGAACCGCATCATTCAGTTTAACCCAGGGCCAGACAAGTACTTCACCTTGGGGCTCCCTACAGGGAGCACCCCACTTAGCTGCTACCAGAATGGGGACCTGTCCTTTAAATATGTGAAAACCTTCAACATGGACGAATATGTAGGCCTTCCTTGAGGGCACCCAGAACGTTACCACTCCTCCATGTGGAATAATTTCTTCAAGCACATTGACATCCACCCGAAAACACCCACATTCTGTGATGCCTGTGAGGAGAAGATTCAGGCTGCAGGTGGGACTGAGCTCTTTGTTGGAGGCATTGGGCCTGATGGGCACATTGCCTTCAATGAGCCAGGCTCCAGTCTGGTGTCCAGGACCCGTGTGAAGACACTGGCCATGGACACCATCCTGGCCAATGCTAGGTTCTTTGATGGTGATCTCACCAAGGTGCCCATCATGGCCCTGACAGTTGGTGTGGGTACTGTCATAGATGCCAGAGAGGTAATGATCCTCGTCACCGGAGCTCACAAGGCCTTTGCTCTGTACAAGGCCATAGAGGAGGGAATGAACCATATGTGGACTGTGTCTGCCTCCCAGCAGCATCCCCTCACTGTGTGTGTGACAAGGATGCCACCTTGGAGCCGAAAGTGAAGACTGTCAAGTATTTTAAAGCTTTAACGCTTGTTCATAACACGTTGGTGGACCCTGTACAGTATCAGGAGAAGGAAGTCCAGAAAAGCCAGTCTGCTAAGAAACCATGCAGCCTGTGCTGGGACCTGCTAGCGGGTACCTCAGAGGCACAGGCAGATCTTTCTGCTAACTGTCTAGGAGAGTAGAATTCTTTTTCTTTAATCCATTATGGTTATTGCAAATATATGCATTGAATTTACCGAAAAAAAAAAAAGAGTCCATGTGTATAGCTAAAGGCTACATAACAAGAAATAATGCCAGACAGGAGATCCCTTCCTTTGAGTTGTTGGCCAGGGTGGCCAAAGGGACTCCCAGATAGTTACCCAGCATAGAACTGGGAAAATGAACAGCAGACCCCAATCTTAGCTAAAGGAATGTTGAGAATATTGACAACTGTTTGCTGCTAGATGAGGAAGAGCTGATCTTCCTAAAACAAGGATCTCTGGATAGGCTGACTAGATTCAGCAGATGGACAAACACTGGGGAACGGCTGGGGGTGCTCACGACACAGCAGACAGTAACAGAGATGACAGAGTATATGGGCTCCAGTGGCGGGTGGGGAGGCTATGGGAGGGTGCCATCTGGGACGTGGGTATATAGATGAATAAAATTGTTTGGAATGTTCTGTATGAAATACACACACAAAAAAATCAATAAATAAAAAATGAGTTATATTTGAGGAAGAAGCATAAAAATTTGCTACATGTTAATTAGTAGAGGTGGAAAACATTACCATTGAACTCTACCTGATGACTTTATATCCATGCTCAGGTGCCAAGGAGCTCAGAAAATAACCGACTGTGACAAGTAATAATCAGATGTATAGAAATTAGAGGCGCACATGCAAACATCTAAGTGTTAGTTGCATTAAATGAGTTTTTCTGTATGAAGCAGTATATTTTAAAATGAAATGGAGATTTTTTTAAAGGTTAAAACCTCATTCAATTTTATGTCTTAATAAGGTTTATAATGAGTTCAATATTGTATGACTGTATTAATTCAACTCTGAACCTAAAAATTTACAGCCACCTTTGAAAGAGATGCATCTTTGCTCTGGAATTGTTATTGAATATGTTAATGCTGTAATGAAATGCTTCTTCTAATCATGTGGTTATTAAAAATTAAATAAATAATTTAAAAAAGAAAGATTGCTTTCAAGCTGGAGGAGGAGGAGTTGGTTGCTAGGGATGGGGTATGGGATGTTTTCTCTTTTGATTGACAGGCTCAGGTTATGTCAGTCTTTGTTCACTATGTATGTCCCATCCCATGATGCATCTGATTTTAATCATATGCATGTTCAGTCACATATAGGTGAGACATGGTAAATAAGGATTTTTCCCTAACAGCTTGTGATGGAGAGATGCCACAATACAGCATTGCCTGAATAAAGGCAGCCTGACTATCGATATCATTTAAAACCAGGAGAGAAGGGGCTGGAGAGACGGCTTAGCGGTTAAGAGCACCTGTTCTTGCACAGGACCCAAGTTTGATTCCCAGCACCCATGTGGTGGCTAACAGCCATCAAGTTCCAGGGGATCTAACTCCCCCTTCTGACCTCTATGGGCATTGCACAACACGGGTGCACTTTATACACATGCAGGCAATACATTTATACACATAAAATAAAAATAATAAAAATAAAACCGAGAGTGAACCCTATCTGATCTCAGAACTATTTCTTCTGAGTTTTTGAGCAACCGTTCTCTTGAAGGAAGGACTTGCTCTGTATTATTTGAAAAAGTCCATGCAGTGTGACATGGGAAAAAAAAAAAAGGAACTTTGTCTCCTCAGGGAAGGAGTTTCCTGTTCTGCCCCCATTGTCTCAGCAGCATAAACGGCAGCAGACAATGTCACAATCTAATCCCCTGTTGTTTGCAGTGTAAGTGGGATAATTTGTTGCTTCCAATGATGTGTATTACTTTTAGGATTGATTTTTTACAATACACACATACACATAAGCACACACACCAGACACTCACATACTCATACAGAGAGAGAGAGAGAGAGAGAGAGAGAGAGAGAGAGAGAGAGAAAATAAAAATAAATCTGTAAAAAATAAAAAAAATAAATCTCTCTTAGGGCTGGAGAGATGGCTCAGTGGTTAAGAGCACTTGTTGCTCTTGCAGGGGACCCATCCACATGGTGGCTAACAACTGTCCCT